ATGCTGTTTCATTGTTAATTGATTGAAAAGGATGACACAGGGATGTAATTCAGTCTCACTGTGTGGAATGGCACTTGTGCTTTCTCTTTCTGAGTCATGAAGTAGAGTGCAGAGGCCCATGTGGTCAGCGCTCAGGATGTGGGGAAAACCACTTTGCCATGTCCTTGCTTTCATTGTCGTCATTCATTAAGAAACTAAAGGGATGGGGGGAAATCCAAGTTGAGGGTTTTATTTTCCTTTCTGCTTTAATTTTTCTGTGGTTTGAGTCACTTTTGCGTGTTAGTTATTGGGAAGGGTGTTGTTCAGTGGTTAGCATAGCTCAAGACACCTGGATTTGGTTATTGACTCCATGTGTGACATTGTGCCAGTCACTTACACTTGTCTGTGCTTCCCTTTACTCATCTGTAAAATAGTTACAATGCTCTCTTTCCCAGTGTGTTGTGAGTTTTATTCACATTTGAAAATCACACTGAGATCCTCTGACGAAAGGTGCTATCCACATATCTATCTGTCTAGGTTCCTGTTTGGTACCCATCACTATAGATAGCTGAATATTTCCCCAAAATGAACTAATGAGAACTCATTTGTTGGACCCTGGCTCAATCTCTCCCTTCTGCATAGGAAGATGCTGGAAAGTAATTTCCTCTCTTCTTCTCTTCTTTTTCTTTGGTGTTGCTCTGGGTGTTATTGGGGAAAGATTAGGATAAAGAAATAAGTTTTACATTTATTTGTAAGGGCCTTGAGGTCTGTGATCATTCTTCCCTCCTCTGGAATTCCAGGGTCTTTGGACAGTTGCTTAGACCAATCTCTCCCCTTTTCTTGTGAGTGTCAACTTCAAGGGTGAAAATGTCATTGTTCCTGTGGAATGTCACCACTGAGGGAGGTCTTGGTCCCTTATTGAGAGCACACATTGGCTCCTTGCTATAGAAGGTCTTAAAAAAGAGGGTCAATATGTTGGTTTTCTATGGGGATGGGAGGTCTGTGGAGAGAACAGAGCAGTGGGTTGATGAGCTCTTTAAAGCTGGTGTTGCCTAGGAGCCAGGCTGCTGTGTTTTGGACCAATCAGAGTATTTTTAAGGTCAGGACATTCATTGCCAAGTACAGCGAGATGCATGGACCCAGCCTGGAAGTCACAATGGCTAGAATTGGCTAAGCCATCATCTGCAGCCACTTTACTGGTCTCAGGTGACAGGGTTTTGGCAGCTGTAACTAATTTGGCGTCCCGAAAGAGTGAAGAATTGAGACAAACTCCCAGGATACAGTCTAACTGGAATATTTGATAGCAGACTCCTCATATGGTGGGAGATACAATGATGGTGGCAAGCTCTTCAAATGTTTCCCTCTTCCCACCAGCAATAGTATTAGCATATATTATGAGGGAGTCCTAAGTATAGAAGAAATTCTTAGGAGTAGGTAGTAATGCCATCAGAGCGTATCACAACATAAGAGGTTATGAAAACACAGGAACTGCATAGCTAAGAAGGTGTCATTTTCCTCTCATTTGCACTGCAGGCAGTATATCATTTAATAGGGGCCTAGGCTGCTGTCACATGAAAACCCTCTTGTAGCCAGAGAACTTTGGAGAAAAATGCTATAAGAGCACAAAGTATTATTATTATTTACAAATTAAAACAATGCAAAGCTTTTCATGAATAAATTATGACTTAAATGATGCTGACCATGCATTGAGAGTCCATCAAGATACAGAATAAATCTTAATATGGCTCTGGCCCATTAACTCTTAGTTACTATATACCATCTTTTCCAGATGTTCTTGAGTGTAGTTCTCTGATACAGGAAGGCTTCTTAAAAAACGGACTTTCAAAAGATGACAGTGTTAAGGAATATAATTCTCTCTTTGATGGTGGGCAGAAAGTGTATTTTCCTAAGAACCAGGTGTGAAGATTTAGAAAAGACAGACATGTTTAAGAATACCAAGTGGAGACGTTTTTTTCTTTCTGTTTCTTGTGTGAACTGGCAGCAATACCAATGTCAGGCACTATGACATTTCATGAGGATTAGTCAGTCCTCCCAAGCAGAATAACCACAGTAATGTGTCTTTGAGTAAGGCTTGCATTCAGGGAAAAGACGGGGAGAAAAAAAAGGCTTCAAAAATATGTGTATCAGTGATTTGTCTGCTTCCTGATAGAGTGAGAGAGAGACATTGCTGACAGTGAATATGGATCAGGGCATCTATTACTCCCATTCACCATGAAACACTTTATTCTTGATCCTGAGAGTGATGTTGACTTTAAAGAAAGTAATTTGGTCTCTTCCTTTGGCATTTGTTTTTAATAAACCCTGTCAGCTTCTGTGAATCATTTCTCTCAGGAGACTAGAATGGTGGGTATGCCACTGACAGAAAGTCCTGCAGCTAAGTAACAATAAGCCAGCAAGCTCACTTAAAAAAGAATATTGGTTGTTTGCC